TTTCCGCGTTTTATTCACCTCCTAAGTGACTACAATTATTCTCATCGCTCCTCAATTGAATATCTTGCCTTTCAAAGGCCTCAGTTAGCATTTTCTTGACATTATAACACATACAACTTAAGGTTGCATCGAATCTTGTTAATACGCCACAATGCTTGCACTGGTGCATTGGCTAAGGGAAATTTTCCCCGAAAGCCCTCTTGATTTCCTATGGGATTTATATGGAACCTTTTGTAACTAAATGAATTTCCCTTAATATTTCACAACTTTTGAATAATTAGACTCTATTGGCCCCTGTGGTTGTTTCTAGACTGGCGTTGTTTAGTTATGGGCTAATAACAAACTAAACAATGAAAAAAGTTTTTACTCAGTCTTTTTTATTGACACACGATACTCACGCTTAAATTTCACGAAGGCACTTATTCAGCTGGAGGTATTAAGATATATATTTAATATTTTCATCCGTCTCTCCACTTCATATATACTTTTATTCCAGTATGCTTTCTTCACATCAGCTTGACTATTTCGCTATTTGAGGAGCCCACTCAGCTTCAGCTAATTCTCTATGTAGTTAGATATTATAAAGAGATGTCTGGTAATATTTTATCCGTACAAAATAAACCGGAGAACGGGAGCTGGATATATAACCGGTTCTTTGGTTCAGGTCTAGCATCACATGGCTTCATATCGAGGTCCCTTATTATTGTATACTGATACGACAGAGTAAATGAACTCTCTAGTTTAGCTAAAAATTGGTTATATGATGCTGCACATTGTGTTGCTGGCTTTATAGACCGGCAAAGTAAGTTCACTTTATCTCAATTCGTCGAGGTTGTAGACCTAAATTATCTTTAGTCTGCTGATGTGAGTCACTTCCTATTTGTTCCAAAAGTCTTCAGACTAAGCTACATTTTTAACTTATACGATAATTCTTAAATGTGTCTAGAACACCTAAATCAATACAAGCTGATATATTAATGGGATTTGAGGAGGCTGAATGATCTAAACACCCGTTTTGTTTTATTCACAATTTTATCCCTGAAATACACCAAAATAATAAGAATTTAATTCTTTGTCTTTATCTTGGTTCTTTTGCATTTTCGACCTGGCGAAAGTATCAAGGCCTGGAAATCGAATGACAGGTGACCCTAAATACTGTTATGCTCATGATTTTTGACTTGGTTCATTCTAAAATCGTTTCTTAATTAATGTTGCAAGCAAAGGGTTATCTTAAAAGAAATGTTGGGTTTCGAGGAATCTATACTTTCATAATTGTTGTGCTTACTTCTATTTCGAGTGAAAGTATTCGGTAAAGAGATTCGAAGGTCGATTCCACCAGAAGACTACGGCGGATTCTTCTTGACCAGCTGTCGATTGGCTTTACGTGAAGATTTATGCTGACGCTGTTTCTGAGGCAATCTCCTTCGATTCCGGTTAAAAGGTGATAACCTTTCGTCCGTCATTTGACGAATATCATCAGAGCAAGGTGTCATCGTCACAGCCAAATTCAAGCTAACGAGTCAAAAAAACTCATCGGCTAACTCATAAAAAGCGGCATATATACTCTATACCTGGCCTCTTTGATTAAGCATAAAGTGATTTGAGGCATGGCAAATCGTAGACTTGTTATTAGGGATAGAAACAGGATAGAGACGGCGGGGACCCGAATTAGTTGGCTGACGGTAGGTCTGTTGTACCAGAGACGTGATACATCTAGCAAAGGGGTGACCATGACACTTAGAGGCTTGCGCCTCGAATTAGTCACCCAGACGCAGGGGAGGGCGAATAACGCCTCGAGTAGGACAGATG